TGTAATGTAATGATGGTTTTAAACAGGTGATTTAGTATTGTATTATGTAATGTGATGTTGGTTTAAGACAGGTGATTTAGTATAGTGTAATGTGATGGTGGTTTAAAACAGGTGATTTAGTATTGTATTATGTAATGTGATGATGGTTTTAAACAGGTGATTTAGTATTGTATTGTGTAATGTAATGATGGTTTTAAACAGGTGATTTAGTATTGTATTGTGTAATGTGATGTTGGTTTAAGACAGGTGATTTAGTATTATGTAATGTAATGATGGTTTAAGACAGGTGATTTAGTATTGTATTATGTAATGTGATGTTGGTTTAAGACAGGTGATTTAGTATTGTATTGTGTAATGTAATGTTGGTTTAAGACAGGTGATTTAGTATTGTATTGTGTAATGTGATGTTGGTTTAAGACAGGTGATTTAGTATTGTATTGTGTAATGTAATGTTGGTTTAAGACAGGTGATTTAGTATTGTATTGTGTAATGTAATGTTGGTTTAAGACAGGTGATTTAGTATTGTATTATGTAACGTGATGTTGGTTTAAGACAGGTGATTTAGTATTGTATTATGTAATGTGATGTTGGTTTAAGACAGGTGATTTAGTATAGTGTAATGTGATGATGGTTTAAACATCATAGCTGTTTCAACACGAAGTTTTATCAATGTTCATCTGATTTGATTTTGAGTTTTCTTTAGCTCTGCTTCAACCTAACGATCCTCTTCTTCTGAACAATGATGACCTAACGACACGAAACTTTTCAGTTGAGATCTATGAAAGGTTGGTTTATTTTAAATATATTGTCTACACTTTTAAGACTGAATTTTAATAAAACTTTCAGTGACGTGGGTGAAACGGAATCAAAGTTTATAGACTAACTGTTTTTGTTTTTTGTCAGAAATGTGACTGAAGTTCTGGTGAGATGTGATGGAACCACGAATAGCTCTCTATACATCGACAGGTAATGCCCTCATGTTATTAATATCCCCCCCTCCAAACGAACAATAACAGTAGCTTCGTATGAATGATATTTAATTCAGTCTTGTAATAATTTCCCTCTAGCGGTGAAGCTTTCAATTAAATAAATAAAGGTAATTATACCTACAATCTAATAATGCTAGTTTATATATTTTCAGCAAACAATAAAAAAAACTATTTGAAAGATCTGATTGATCTGTTTTTACTTCAGGTGTGGACATTGCGTTGAAGGACTTAACAAATCTGTAAGTCACGTTTGTGGAGAGTGTGGTGGCGCTAGTTGTCTGGGGTGTGATGAGAAACCAAACAGTAGGTGGAGATTAGATAATTGTGGTCAGTGTAAACCACCAGGGGAAGGTGAGTATCTGTTTTGTGATATTATTTCGTTTAATTACGAGCTATTTCAGTAGTCTAGGTTATTTTTATTTTATTATTTCATAGTTTTCAGAAAATCTCTGAAAGTTATTGAAGTATTCGTTAGGCTAACTACCGTTCATATTTTTCCGATAAAAATCTCTGTTTATGTCAATAAAGTATCAGCTATCCAGGTTGTTTTACTAACCCTAATCTCCTTACAACATTGATTTATCTACACACTCTTCTAAGGCTTAGTTCAAAAACTAATTTATTAAATTTAAATTAAAACTATCTTTTTACGATTTTTTTTTTCGGGACCCGAATTGGCTCTCTGGAAGAATTCTGGATTTCAGAGCTGGAGAGCTTCGATGACACAAAATATTTCTTGCACTTTAAATTCTGGGTGAGGTATAAGAACGACAGTCAATCCCTTACCATAAATTGTGGGCGTTAGGGTGTTACTAACATGCTATCTTCAGTAGGTTGGTCAGTTGGTCAGTAGGTCAAAGTTAGGGACTGTGGCAGATAGTCTTACTACTTTCGCTATATACATAGAAATACCCCAGTTTTTGTGTCTTGTTTTACTTCTCAACCTTCATCAGTAGAATCTATGCAGAGAAAATTACAATTGACTTATAATAATTCAAATAATTAAAGTCTGGAAGCTACAATTATATTAACTCTTTACATTTTATCACTGAAAGAGTTTATCATTTACAAATATCCAATGACAAAGTTCACATTTCAAAGTATTTGACTGAATTCAAATTTCGTCAAAACATGATATTGGTATTTATTATTTGTTAAGCAGTAAGATAATTATTAAATATTTTTTTATACCCAGGTTGTCCGTTTTTCATATTGAATATCAACGTCATTGATATCAGTGAGGAATCCAGATGCCGTGATACCAATTTGCATGTAAGCAATACCTATCAAGTCACTTCGCTGAACTGTTCTCTACAGCTCGTGGAAGGTGTACAGGTGATGTGTATCGTAAGAAATGATCACATATAAACTCACGAAAGATAAAATTCATCCTCAGCCAGTAAAAGCAACATGATAGTTTGTTTGTTTAAAAATTACGCGCTAAGCTACCCGAGAGATATTTGCGCTAGCCGTCCCCAATTTTGAAGTGAAATGCTAAAAGAAAGGCAACAAATCAACTGTATATACAGAGTCACGGCAGTGTTACTCCATTCTTCTAACTTAACTGGAGTCACTACTGTGTCTCTAGATACTATCAGATTTGACCAATAGTTCGGTCCTGTATATACAGAGTCACGGCAGTGTTACTCCATCCTTCTAACTTGGCTGGAGTCACAACTCCATTCTTCTAACTTAACTGGAGTCACAACTGTGTTTCTAGATACTATCAGATTTGACCAATAGTTCGGTCCTGTATATATAGAGTCACAGAAGTGTTACTCCATCCTTCTAACTTGACTGGAGTCACAAGTTAGAAGGATGGAGTAACACTTCTGTGACTCTATATATACAGGACCGAACCTTTAGCCAAATCTGATAGTATCTAGAGACACACTAGTGACTCCAGTTAAGTTAGAAGGATGGAGTAACACTTCTGTGACTCTATATATACAGGACCGAACTATTGGTCAAATCTGATAGTATCTAGAGACACAGTATGTATCACAACGCATTGTTGTTGTTTTGTACCATGACTAGTTTCATAACACATTGCTGTTGTTTTGTACCAAGATATGTTTTAAAACACATTGCTGTTGTTTTGTACCAAGACATGTTTCACAACACATTGCTATTGTTTTGTACCATGACTACTTTCATAACACATTGCTGCTGCTTTGTAACATACCATGTTTCATAACACATTGCTGTTGTTTTGTATCATGACTACTTTCACAACACATTGCTGCTACTTTGTAACATGACTTGTTTCATAACACATTGCTGTTGTTTTGTATCATGACTAGTTTCATAACACATTGCTGTTGTTTTGTACCAAGACATGTTTCACAACACATTGTTGTTGTTTTGTACCGTAACTAGTTTCATAACACATTGCTATTGTTTTGTACCATGACTACTTTCATAACACATTGCTGTTGCTTTGTAACATACCATGTTTCACAACACATTGCTGCTACTTTGTAACATGATTTGTTTCATAACACATTGCTGTTGTTTTGTACTATGACTAGTTTCATAACACATTGCTGTTGTTTTGTACTATGACTAGTTTCATAACACATTGCTGTTGCTTTGTAACATACCATGTTTCATAACACATTGCTGTTGTTTTGTATCATGACTAGTTTCATAACACATTGACAGTATCTAGAGACACACTAGTGACTCCATCCAAGTTAGAAGGATGGAGTAACACTGCCGTGACTCTATATATACAGGACCGAACTATTGGTCAAATCTGATAGTATCTAGAGACACACTAGTGACTCCATCCAAGTTAGAAGGATGGAGTAACACTGCCGTGACTCTATATATACAGGACCGAACTATTGGTCAAATCTGATAGTATCTAAAAACACAGTTGTGACTCTAGTCTTTTGTGCCAAGACATGTTTTAAAACACATGGCTGTTGTTTTGTACCAAGACACAACAGCAATGTGTTATGAAACTAGTCATGGTACAAAACAACAACAATGCGTTGTGAAACTAGTCATGGTACAAAACAACAGGAATGTGTTGTAAAACATGTCTTGGTACAAAACAACAACAATGTGTTGAAAAACATTTCTTGGTGTACAAACTGCTACAAATTTTGGCATCTTCTAAAAAAACTACGTGAAACAGACGAAATAATTCCGGAAGTAAAATATATCTAAACAGTAACAGTAAACAACCATAAGGCTGCTGTGTGGTAAGTTATGACCAATGACGTCGTTTCCGGGCAGTTGTTACGTGGTCTGATCACCTTGCCTCTCACCCACGTCCTTCATGATTCGATCTTGAAGAATAAATAAACCAACAACATAACAATATGGTATTCATACTGTCTTGTTTCCAGAGTCAAACTTTGTTTTGCAAAGTTGTCAGTTGTGTTTTCATGGGACTCGACTTAACAAACTAGATGGCTGCATCTCGGTTTTAGGCTTATCGTCGTTTTATCGGCTGTCCCTACCATTGTAAGCAGTGATGTTACATAATTTCAAAAAATTATAGGCAACGAATTCATTGAAGTTATATATTTTAAGAAATACTAAATAAATGTTATTTATTAGCTAATTTTAATAACATCAATTACTGGACCAAAATATTTCCATTGTCTTGTAACTCTTCGTTTTTATTGGCTAATTTTTAAACCCATCAATAATTAGACTAATACGTCTTCATCTTCTTGTGTACTTATAAAGTTTCTTCTGTTATACCATGCGCTATTAGCCGCCACCACCCGACCAACCTTATCCTATAGTCACGTGCCTTAGTTATTTTTGATGGTTTGTTTGTTTTGTAGTTATGCACAAAGCTACACAATGAGCTATCTCTGCTATGCCCACCACGGGTATCGAAATCCAATTTCTAGCGTTGTTAGTTCGCAGATATACCGCTGTGCCACTAGGGGCAGTTATTTTTGAAGTTTAGAAATTTATAAATTATAAATAAATTGTTAGCTTCCTAACGTAGTTATTGTAGTTATAAATAACACGTTAGCTTTCTAATGTAGTTATTGTAGTTATAATTAACTCGTTAGCTTTCTAATGTAGTTATTTTAGTTATAATTGACTCATTAGCTTTCTAATGTAGTTATTGCAGTTATAAATAAGTTATTAGCTTTCTAATGTAGTTATTGTAGTTATAAATAAGTTGTTAGCTTTCTTATGTGATTATTGTAGTTATAATTAACTCGTTAGCTTTCTAATGTAGTTATTTTAGTTATAATTGACTCATTAGCTTTCTAATGTAGTTATTGTAGTTATAAAT